GTGACCTCACACAGGCAGAGGCTTTCGGCCACGAGGCAGAGGCCATTTTTGACGTGGCAAAGGGTTGGCTCTACGACCAACGAAGCGTGGCTCAGGCAACGGCCATCTGTCATGAGCAAGAAAGTACAAGTCAATGAAGAGATCTATTCTAAACAATGTCACAGATAGATAGTATTAACATGTGTAAGAAAGAATACTTGTTTCCATCAATCGGTGCAACAGTTTCAGTGTTTCTGTGTGTCCCGCCAGGCAACAACCATCTGTGTGGTTGATCAGCCATATTTCAAAAAGCATAAGAGTTACTGAACAAATTATTTCAAACAATATGTAGATATACCGTACTTAAGAAAGAATACCTGTTTTCAACATCCTCGACAATAGTACCATCTGCACTAGTCCTGCAAGTACATCCAAAATCAATTTTACCACAAGGAAACGAGTTAGTTTAAATCAATGACATACCAGCTTAATGCATTAAAAAAATAGAAAAGGATAAGAGCACAATGCGAGGGTACAGGTAAGTACGGTATCAAGTATGATAGTGGTAGATAACAACAGAACACACCAATGAATTAAGTTGTCGGAATCATGTACCATTACATCACTACGTACTACACTTTGGGGCACACACAAGTTGTCATATCAGCCCAAACCAATTGGGCCAAAATTATATTTAAGTGAAAATGATTGAACGATGTGAAAACTAGAGATGAATATACAGATAGGACAACATCCCTAAAACCTACAAAGCTTCTTTTTTTTTTAAGACATACCCTTTTTTATTGAAGTTCAACAAGAGGTGGTGAATAACATCCCTCGGCAGGAACGGAGTTTCTTCCTCATCATAAAAGTTCATTCCAACAAAATTCCCATCATTGTCAATAAGAGGCCCCCCAATCCCAGCCTAGCAAAACAAAAGGAACAACATACAAGAGTTACACACAGATACCGTTTGATAGATGTAGTGATAGCTTCTGTTAGTATTCCAACGCTAATAACTTTTTGGCATGTTAGAGGTACTGGGGAAGTCCACAAGAAATACCTTGGTGATTTTACAGGTGGAGACACAAAGTTCTTTGCAATCAAGTTTGCTTTGTTTGCCAATCAACACCTTCCCCTCAACAGCTATTAGTTTGCGACACGCAAAAAGACTACCCACAGCTATTACGTCCATAGATGAGGTAACTGGATGCCCATGGATTTTTATTGTACGAGGACGCCAGAATCCCATGATGTCAACAAGAGCAACATTGTACTGTAAATTATAACAGTTCAATATCCCTACAACTCGATATTGGTTTGGAAGGCAAACTTCAATCTGCAATGATAACGTTATGTTAACCAGTATCTGAAATGAAAAGAAAAAAAATTGATAGCAGTTAGCAGTAACAACCCTCAAGTTATCATCGATCATGTGTGAACTGCCAGGAACTCTGAACAAACTTGCTGAAGTCAGAATTGTTGCAGAGCATGCTTCGCCCTTTATAAATACACCTGAGCAAGAAAACTTTTTTGCAAATCCTACAGAGATAATCATTCAGTTATCAATCATTGATCAATTAAAACATGGACAAGTAAGTACTGTATAACAGAGTCATCACCATTGAATGAAGCAAGTGAGACAACACTTCGATTCATTTTTGAAGCAAGAAGTTTGCTTGATTCTGAAGCAAGTGAGTAGGCACTTCGATCCATTTCTAATCCAAAACCTCCCAATGGTTTCCTCAAGATATCCTTCTTGAACGTATCATCGAGAAGATTTATGTATTGCCCACCTAGCATGATACACCAGTTAAAAGTGTTTCATAAAGTTTTTAAAGTGTGCGTGTGCAACATAATGTACTCAGCAAAATAAGTTAAAATGTATTGGCTGCCAAGGGTTCAACATAGGCCATTGTAGTTTCAATATGTATTCCAAGAAGAGCATCTCGCTTTATGCCGACGACGTCATCCTCTTCTGCCACCCCTCACCTAGCGACACGTTGGCGGTCAGAGAGATCCTGCAGCTTTTTGGCAGAGCTTCAGGCCTGCGGGTAAACTTCCAGAAGAGCACGGCCACGATGATTCGTTGCGCGGCCGAGGAGGTCGCTCCGGCCATCGCGACGCTGGGATGCCCCATCGCGCAGTTCCCCATCACCTACCTGGGCATCCCCCTCACCTTGTGACGCCCGACTGCTGCCCAACTGCAGCCCGTCGTCGACAAGACTGCCGGGAAGCTGCCCACTTGGAAGGCCCACCTCATGAACAAGGCTGGACGCCTCGCCTTTGTCAAATCCGTGCTATGTGCAATTCCCCTGCATCAACTCCTTGTGCTCGCGCCGCCGAAGAAAGTCCTCAAACTCCTTGAGAAGATCCAGAGAGGCTTCCTCTGGGCTGGCCGCACCGAGGCTCAAAACGGCAACTGCCACGTGAACTGGCGCCGCGTCTGCCGCCCCACACGCCTTGGCGGCCTCGGCATTCATGACCTGGAGCGCATGGGCCTCGCCTTGCGCACCAGATGGCTCTGGTTCGCACGCACAGACGGAAATAGGGCCTGGGCTGGCCTCGATCTGCAGTTCTCCAGTGAGGAACGTGCATTCTTCTTTGCGTCCACCTCCATGGTCCTCGGCGATCGTCGGCGAGCATTGTTCTGGGAAGACCGATGGATCAACGGGCAATCCATCTCTGAGATCGCCCCCCAGCTATATGCCCTCATCCCCAAGCGCCGCCGCAAATTAAGAACAGTGGCAGATGGCCTTCAGGCGCACACATGGGCATCAGACATCCATGGCACCCTTGGCATTCAAGAGATTGGCCAATACTTGCTAACATGGAGGGCCATTGAGAATATCACTCTCTCTGGTGATCCAGACCAGCTCCATTGGAAGTGGAATGCTGCTGGCACATACACCGCCCAGTCTGCGTACC